CTCTGAACAGTATGAGAAAGATGTTTTAGAACTAGGAATTCAGGAAAATAAACAAATAATCTGATACTATTGGAATGCTTTTGTGTAAAGTGCTGCATGAATGAAGGCAGAAAGCATAATAGAATTTGACCTACACTAGGAAGTCTATATTGCTTGGAAAACTGAGTGTACCAAAGATCTACAAAGTAAGTGCTGCTCAGTATGAAAATCTTGAAAGCAATATACAATACACCCAATTATCAGAAAATGCACCAGATTGAGCCGTCTTAGTTTTGTTAAAAACTGATGATGACCAAAGTAAATAACTTCATTCTTCTTCCACAATTTTGCTTTAGCTTATATGCCTAAATGTTCCCCAACACTCTAAAAGCAAAATGAAAGAGCTCCAAATGCATTGTTCAGCCACCAGGCAGAAATGATAAGGAAGAACTCGTAGCCTGTTCTTCAACAGCTGCTAGAGAAACCAGTAGCAAAATTCCCAAGCTAAGAACAATTGTATTTCTTGGAGCTCTCTAAACAATAAAGCCATCTCATTTCAGAAACTATTAAAAAGCATCCCAGGCAAAGTATGGCAATGACTATGAATATCCTCCAAATGGAATTTCTGTAAAACCCCTATCATATTACAGGCTGCATATGTATATTATTCTGCATTTTATTCTTAAGTCTAGTTTCAGACTGTGAGCACATGTACACCTTGTATAGCAGCTTCTGTCCATAGCTTCCTCAGATTACCACCGATACAAAAGTTCCCCAGCGAATATCTGTTTCATGGCAAAATACTGGTAGACTTTTACACTAGTAGGAATAGTTTTAAGGAAAGCTCAACAGTTTGACACAGCCAGGGTGAACTATGCCTGGTTATCTGAGAAGTGGAACGCAAGGAGCTTGACCTGACACATCAGCAGAGTTCTCTAAAACCACACTAAGTTTGGAGCACAGCAGGGCAAATGAGAAACAACAGCCACACAGCTCACACAGAGCATCCCCAAGAAAGCTCTTGCTTTCTTGCTCTGTGCTTACAATGAACACTGTGGCCAAAAGGAACCAAAATCATATAGCCACTTCTTAAAATAAACCTTCCCAGCGGGCCCTTTTTCCTGTCCTCTAGCAGCCAGCAGAGCAGAGGACTGAAACAGTCTGAGTCACGGAAGTGCACGCGTGCTGGTCTGCACAGAGCTCTGAGCTCTGGGTGCCTTGGCACGTGGGGCTGCCCACACGCTTGTGCAGCCAGCTACAGGACCATGAGGAGAACATGAAAGCAGGATGTCTCACTCCCTCTCCATTTTCTTCCTCTATGCAGAGAACTTTATGCAGTTGAAAACGGAAAAAATTTCGAGATTTTTCCTCTACAGGTAAAATGTGAGCAAATGCAGGCCCTTAACAGTGCACAGGTGACTCGAGCTCTGCCTGGTAACAACACATCACTTCTGCTGTGCCAGGTCCCTGGGAACCTCCAGGATCAACACCTTACCAACTACACCATTTTGTATGACAGCAAAGGATCAAATTGGACAGAGTCAGAGTAGAATATCAAGATAAAACTTATTTCATGGTAACTGAATATTCTGCTCTCAATTTTTTTCTTTCTTTTTCAAAAGTGCATTTCTAGCTTTATGGTTGTGATGATAACTTTTATGTTAGGAACCAAGAGTAAATAATATAAATAGCTCAAGTCTGCAGAGACACTAAAATAGGTTTCTCAAAATTATGTCATAGCATGATGTCTTGAAATGACTGAACCCCATCCTTCTCATAAGTTTTTTGTTTGAACTATCTGGTTCCTTCAGGTTGGAATCAATGAAAGAAAAAGACTATGGCTTTTTGTTATGTCTTAGGTTAAAAACTATTGAAACTGGTCACTTTAGCACTGCATTTCCTTTCAAGCTAAATAAAGCTACAGTTAAATACTGCTCTGTTTAGTAATTGCTAAAAACAAAAGACTACAAAAAGACACAGGCTGTGCAGGGTCTGGACCTCACAAGACAAAGGGAATCATGGGAACAGATGCCCATGGGAGCAAATGTGGAGATTAGGGCAATAAGAAATGCAGCTCTCCTTCTAAATGTGTTGGGTATGAATATGGTATCTCTGTTGACAGAGGTAGCATATCCTCACATTGAAGCTTAATGTAATCCAATATAACACACACAATTTTTACTATATACAGCTACTGTAATTATTGCTTTGGTAATTTGCTAGCTGTGTTATAGCAAAAGTATAAAACTCTTTATTTTACTTTTTGTTTTTGTTGGGGTGTGTGTGTGTGTGTGTGTGTGTAAAGAATACCAAAACCAGGTTTCTTCTTAGAAAATTAGTCCAAAGCCATCTGAAATTAAGTTTACTCTCTTAGAATAATATTAGGTTACTTTGAGTCTTAAAATAAATCTCTGACCAAGTCCTAGATGGCTAATTACTTTCAGTTATTTCTGAATAAATTTTTAACCACTTCTACCACTTCTGTTGGAGTCATCTGTATCTAACAGGCTGGGGTGAGGGGAGAAAGTGATCTGTCTGAGCATTAGACAAATAACAGACTTAATGACAGAATAAACACAGAAGAACAAAACAAAGTGACCAAAAAGGACAGCAAATCGAGCAGCATTTGAGGAAGGCCAAGGGAAAAAACGAAACAACTTACAGTATCCAAAAGCCTTTGGGTCGCTTTATTTCAGCTGCACCATGCCTTAAGTTTTGGAAAGAAGAAATACAATGCTAAGAAGATTTCCAGTACATCAACTCAAACTTGATTTACCCTTAGAAAACCCAGTCTAATTCCTGAAAGCTTTGCAGCAGCTCTGGCCTGTTTTCAGAGCACTACGGCACACAGGAGGTGAACTGGGTGCTGATGGGAGAGGTACAGCATGGAAAGACCACGTCCTGCTCAACCTAGTCTCCAGATCACCTGTTATAAATATGAGAAATTATTTGTCAAGCAAAGTAGAAGGGATTGTCTCTGTGTTTAAACCTTTGCTGAAACTGACTCATAAAGCAGGAAAGCCATGAAAATGCAAAATATACTTTGGAAAAACATGCCCAGATAAGGGTATATAAGGCTTCCTGGATAACAACACAGTAACTGGATCATATGTATACAGCATGAAACACTGCAGAAATTGAGTGTCCTTCACATAATGCTGAACATTTCAGCATCTCTGTAAATTAGAAGATTGAAAACAGGACATGGTGAATTTTTTTGTCCATTATTACACAAAACCAGCAAGAATTAGCAGTTGAAGCCAGATCTCTCCAGATCTCAATCTTAAAACTGTATTTGCTTTGATGTCACTCATTCGTGGGACACATTAATAGAGCAGTGAACAACTGGTGCTGATTGTTGTGGCTTATTAGGCAGTGATAGATTTGGGCCATGCTTTCACTCATTTCTCATAACAAATATTTGCATATGGGACTGAAGCACTGGGAAGCCATACATGCATAGCTATTGTCTCAAGTTAACCCTTCCTTCCAAGGCGCAGTTCCACTCCCTCCTCCATCTCAGCCCCTTCATTAATCTCCCCATTTGCCTTCTAGTTTTGTTTAGATTACAAGTTATTGTCACTAAATACATGAAAACTGTAACCAAAGACAGTCTGGGCCTAACATAATAAATCAAGTAATTTCCAGCTAATGATTTACTGTTTGCTTCACTTCTCCACCCACTGTCTGGCTTTTTTAGGGCAAAGACATAACCTTGCTAGAGGACTGCACACAGTAATGGGACTAAGAATGCAATAAAAAAGATTTCATGTCAAAGGGGATGAATATAATCAATGAGTCTTTTCCTTTTAGTAGAGAACAGTACATTGCTACTTCGGTGGCAAAGGCTCCTATGACCAGAAGAAGCTCAGAACTGGCTTCTGTGAGTGTTCCATGATAGTGGAAGCACTTTTGGCTTGACTTGTTTTGGCCCATGTGTCTGCTATTCTGATTTCCAATGAGACAATTCACTGTCTGTTTCTGGGGACAGAATGAATGGAGGAGTTAGATCAATTATCTGAGAGTCTTCAGGATACACTCTGACAGATGATGAAAGGCCTCTAATATGTAATTGAAATACCCTGTACCAAAATACTCACATTAAACCTTGGCTGATTACACACAGGTCTGAGCTATCTCGGACCTTCAGAACAGGAACTGAGTTGTTTATCAGTGAAAGCCAAACTTCTAAAAAGCTGGCTGCCCACTACAGAGCCTTTGTGTTGGGTAAATTAGCTTCAGGAAGAGAATCAAAATGAATTAAAACCACATGGAGATCCTCTCCCTTTACCCCCCTTTCCCCCTTTCCTCTCGCTATATGAGTCCCCTCACCAGGAGACAGAGGCCAGTTCAGTATAATTTAGTCCAGTGTTTTTGTTTCCTAAAGTCTCAGTCTTGGGCTGAGTCCATTAATAGGCTGCAGCTGATTTTAATCTAGATGAACTCAAGACTTCTCTCTTCTTTGGTTTTAAAAAGATTACAAATTGTGTGTTATATAAATAGAGGGAAAAGGGAAAAAAGAACCAGAATAAGTAAAAAAATCTGCTCTCCATTAGCTGACCTGCTGAACAAGACTGTGATTCAAATAAAGATGAGAAATGAGAGATGTGGGGAGAAAAATACACAACTAAAAGCTCTAGTGATACTGCACCCAGACACAGTGATAAGAGGAGATGCAGTAATGTCTGATAGCTACCATTACCATTGTAACAGCACAGAAGAGATATTAATGGGACTCCAAAAGCAACAAACCAGATGCCTCAAAGACTGTTCTGATAGTTTGCAGCAACCCCTCCCCATTAAACATAAAATCACTTTGATTAGCAATTATGACCTCTTTGTCTCTCAGGTCTCTCTGCTAGCTAGGGTGGAATAAGTAGGTCTCAGACCAGCTCCTTGTAGGTCTCTTTTAGACTGTGAAAGAATGCCATTGTACTCACATGGACTGATTCAAGTGGGATTTCTAAACAGAGATGCTGACACTAGAGAGAGCTGTCTCATATTGATGCTGACATAATTTTGGGTGGGAAGAGGCTGGGCTTTTTTTTTTTTTAATGCCAGCTTGAATTCTATGTCTGCCTAATGCCACTCTGGAACTCTACACATTGATTTATATTTTGACACTAATGCCACACTGAACTCTACACACTGGATTCAAGACTGCATGAATCCATGATTTTTAAAAATAATTGCCACAGGCTACAAATATGACATTCATTTTTATTGATGCTCAGTCTCAGTGCTAATGTATTCAAAGTCTCCATTTAGAAGACTCTCATGAACAGCTCATAGACAACTGCTCCATTTAAAAATGGCCACTGCAGCTGAGCAGCAAAGCCAAACATGAAGGCACAATGAACAGCACTGGAGCAGAGTGTAACTACTCACAGTACCCTACAGACAGGTGGCTCCTGGTGGAGAGCAACAGGATGGCTGCCATTTGGAAAAACAAGTTACAGAATTCCCTGTAACAGACTTCTGTTATTTAACTCCAGCTGAAAAATATAGATAAAAAAACTGCATTCAATCCATAAGAAAAACAAAACTTTTTTATAGCCTATGAGCAAGATGTTAAGTGAGCTGTACTCACAAAAGAAAGGTTCCAAAGAAGCTGGAGTCTCAATGTTATTATGATAACTTAAAAATCTCAAAATAGCATTTGATTCCACAGATTCCATTTCAGAAGTCCAGAAATGTTTTTCTCTGCTTGTTAATGCTCTCATTTTGGGTATTGCACACATCTGTTTAATACAAAGAGAGTTTATACCTGTATAAAGTAAAAATTACAACTTTGCCATAAGAAGGAAACAAAATAGAAGTAGTAAAAGTGCTAGTAAATCAGTAATAAATAGTAGATATGCAGAGAAACAGATGTCCATATGACATCAGTAAGAGAAATCACATGGTTCTATCAGATTTACCTGAATACAACCCCTCCTAATAAGTTTCAATTGCAATGATAAACGTGCCTGGATTAAAACCAGTAATTTTTCATTCCTTGCTAATGGGGCAAATGTAACTTGGAAGGACTCTGTATGCAATCACTGGAGGTTTTATTTGTATAACTTTTCTGGAGGCTGACTATGACTATATTTGATTGCATGTGGGTGGCTGTGGGACAGGCAGACAGCTGGGTGAAAAACTATGACAAAAGAAATCTTGTCCTATTTCCTGCCTGTGCTTCATTCACTAATGAGCACTGCTCTGGGTCATTCTCAAGATTTCTTCATCTGTTGTTGTCTCGTCTGCAAAAGGGGCACCCCGGCAGTGGAGCTGTTGTCAGCTTGTCTTGAGAGTTTATTCTGCTCCCTCTCACCCTTGCAGCTGTGTGGGATTTTAAGTGCCTGGCTGTAAACAACTCCATATTTCGTGCTTCTTTTTGGATGACTTGAAGGCCAGTCTAAGGCCAGATGTGTTTGCTGGTGTAATCTGTTTCTCATTTCTTCTGATAAATGCATATCTCAACAGCTAATAATAAAATGAAATCAGGATTTTTCTGTTGTCTTCTTCAGTTTGATTTCTATTGGAAAGAAAATGTTAACAAAATATAGCTAAGTTCTCAGTCTCTCTTTTCTTCCTGGAGTGCTTGAAATGTTCACTGAACATATCCCTACAAATAAACAACCAGGCTGGTGAATCTGGTGCCTTTAGATTCCTGCTGTAGCAACCAATAGCTGTCTTTGCCAGCTTGTGGAAACAAAACCATTTTGCTTCTTTAAAAAACAGTTTTTCACTAATACTGTGTTATCTATTCTTGTTTCTTTTGTCAGAACTGTTCACTTGATTTCTTTCTGGTAACAGGATTCTTTTATAAAAGGCTTCTACCTGTGCACAGGCAGGATTCAGCCTTCTCCTACAGCAAACTGTTCTGTTATCAAGTCTAGTCCATTGATGAGAAAATTCCTTAACAGAAGAACGTAAGGACTGCTCCTCTCTCCTCATGTCCAGGGTTCAGTAAGTCTCTATCCAAGGAAAAGGAAGAAATCACACCAAATTTCACTGTATCAAAGTGTTGTCTTTTGATTTGTGTTGTAAGATGGTATTGTATTAGCCTTCCCCTTCCAAACAGGTATAAGGGTGAGGCAGTGGAAGGGGAATGCTGCAAAAGCTTAGCCTACCCCGTTCCACTAATGACCTACAAGATGTGTGCTGCTGCAGTGCAACACAGAACTCTGCTGGCCATGATTCTCCTCTTCTTTCCAGTTAGATCATGGCCTTATCCACTGCCACCCTTCATATCTATTATAATGGAGCCCTTATCCTTAATTAAAACCACTGCTTAAGTCTGTCAAAGATACTGCTCCAACAAAAAGCAATTCCATCAGGCATAGCTTTGCTAGGAGACTTCCAATCCTCTCGTAGTTGCTACCTGGTTTTTTACATCCTCTGCAACTTTAAATTATTATAGATAGGTCATAACATATTATGGATGATCATAACAACAGTTTATATAGAGGAAGTCATAGGGTTGTCCTTTACCCAAGAAATCTTTCAGATAAATACTCTAGTTTCATCCCAAAGGAGATTTTGCCAGGCCCTCTAGCCCTAAGAGGGAGAGGAAACTCTTTCCACGGTGCTAGGCAGTTCTAATTATGGATGCATCAAACCAGCACCTACTTTTCTTGAAGATAATTGTTCCGTGACAGTACTCAGAAGCTCATCTATTGTCTTCAACCACACTAATGAATGTTAGCTTCTCACTTAGCCTTGCTAGTTCTGTTCAGAAAAGGAGTCACCAAAAACATAAGTAAATTTTATTTCTTCCATGCCTCTTCAGATTTAACACCCAAGTACAAAAACCGTAACTGTATACATAAGCCACCATGACTGGCCTAACTGAAGACAACTGTTTAAACTGGCAAAGACACAATTTATTCTATTAAAACCACTCATGATGATATGTGAGAAGGAAAAAAGTCCTTTTAGCTTTTAAGAAACAAATAATTTCTAGGGACAGTAATTAGGAAAACAAACGCAAAACATTTGTATTTGTAAATTAAGTATACTTGCTGTGGCTTGACTAAAATGTGCTAAATCTAATCTTGGAATTTTTTTCTTCAAAGAACCTCCACACTGCAAGATGCTAATAACATAAAAAAAATAAGTACAGGCAGAGTCATTCCCCCATTAGCCCATCTGGATTTTCAGCATTTTACTGAGCTTTTGTATCTATTATGTGAAATAAAAACCAACCTGTTTCCAGAAGGCTACTTTGGTGAGTGGTCTGAAATAATTTTATTTCTTAATTTAATTTTTCAGGTCATTCAGAGTTTTTTTTTTCGTTTTCTGTGTTGAACTTAGTGGGTTTTCAGAGCCACAGTGCCAACAATGTAATATGGTATTTATTTCTTCCTGTATCTAGCATGGTTTTACACACAAACTGATCATACCTCAAGTATCTAATTTGCGCCTGGCCCTAATTCTCCTGCCATTAATGGTATATAGTTGACTTACTATGACACCTTAAAGAACCTTTCTTACACTTGATCCTCTCAGTAGTTTCATGGGATTCTCCTTATTCTCTTAGCATTCTTACCAAATGCTTTCACTATGACAAATCACCAAGCCCTCAGATCACTTGCATTAAATAAAAAGAGGCTAATTTATCTAAGTAATGTTCTTTTTCTGTCTACAGTGATGTTGGTAGAACTTTCACAAAACATACTGTTGTGAAAAGAATCAGATTTCAGGAATATGGAAACAGACTCTAACATAAATGTGTTGGAAGTGTCATTTTGTACATCATGCACCATGGTATCCTTGAATTAACAGGAAATCAATGCAGGGATGCACCTTGAATGGGAGACAAAGCTGATATGTATTTGTGGGCTGCTTTTATTGTCTGTCCAGAAATTTCAAAGCTAGAGGAATGAACTCTGTATATCAAAATCAAAATATGCACCTACAGTTTTCAAACAACCCAACACCACAGCATTGCCTCTAATGGCATGCAAATCTGTTTCTCCAGTGTCTCTTGGAATGCAGAGTTAGTACATGGACTAGACACACACAGAGCAAGCTAATTAGAATTTCATGACTGTAGGAGTATCTTTAAATTGTTACCTGAGGTTAGCTGATGACACAGTCATGCCTGACTCATCTGAAAATCTGAAACAATGGCTCTGAGCATGGTAAACTTTATCACTGACAGTGTGTCATCCTCATGACCTGGAAGATGGGGAGAGGGACAGCAGGAATTCTGCCACATCAGCAGACAAATCTATGGGCGGAGCAGGAACAGAAAAGTACAGTAAACCTGACTCAGTCTCTAGCAGATACATTCAGCAACATGACTGAACTTTACACTCAGGACACTGGGTGCCTATCACATTCAATAAGGAAATGGCATCTCTTACTGCTTCTAGGGTGAGCAAAAACACAGAGAAAGAATCAAATGGCAGAAAGGCAGCAAAACAGAAGTACCAGGGTTTAAAACCAGGTTTTTAAAACCTCATCTGACCTATGTAAATACTAGCACTGCCATACCTGATTTGGGGCTGTCATGAAAGGGAAGCCTAGAAAAATAGTGTCTGCCCTTAACCTCCTGAACTATCAATTTTCCTCATCTAATACTGCAGAAAGGTTATGTTGCAGTGCCCTGCGCTTCCTCACATTTAAAGTTAGGGTAGCCAAGGGCAACAAAGACTCCTTCCTCTCCAGCCTGATAGCAGAGCTCTTCCTTCCTTTTGTTCACATGAAGAACAAACACTGAGTTGAACAATAACAGTGGATGCTTCTTTATGGTGCTCTCTTCGGCACCCAGCCCTGGTTAGCATTATCTTACCCCTTGGTTTTGTTTTAAAGGAAACTGTGAATGATATTTTCAATTGCTGGTGTTTCAAGATCAACATTACCTCTACTTCCTCTGTTTTCAAGTTTCCTTATTTTACCAACAATATGTGGCACTTTGAAAAATGAAATTAAAAAAAAAGACACCAAATGAACTGAGAAAGCTTCCAGTCTGAGGCAAGCAGTAACAGAGGGCCAGTTAAACAAGTTTTCCCTGTAAATTAATGTCACACTTGGCTGCAGCCCTCGGTGGCTGAAGAGGCCCTGAATTTGCAAATTCAGTTTGTGTATTAAGTTTTCCTGTACCCTTAAGTAACAGAGCAGTAAATGGTGTCCTTCCTGAGCCCAGGCAGCTGGGACCAGCTTAGGGACACCTTACTCCCTTTGCACTCAGATGTGACAGTGGAATTTAGTTCATTCTACACCAGAGTAATCAGGGCTTGCTCTGACATTTATCCATTACTTAAAAACCTTTCCTAGGGCACAACAAGTCTTCCAAATGAAAATTAAACTGTGACTCGGGTGGCTGCCCATTCTTGCTGCTGCTATCTTGTACTGCTAGCCAGATTGGCCCACTTGGCTATGGGTCAGTTGTGTGCCCACTCATTCCTCACATCAGCCTAACACACATTTGGAAGAAAAAGAGGGAGAAAACCTGTTTCTCAAGGAAAATAAAGTATTCTGGGTGAATAAAAGTTATCTCTGCTAAACTCTAAAAAAGTCCTTTCCAGTGTTACTCAGCTAGAAGGACTGCCATGATGAAGCAAGGCAACAGAATTGTAGGAGAAGGCTGGCTGAAAGGCAAAGAAGAAATAACATACCTTTGAGTTCTGGTGTGCTCTGTGTGAGGACCGGCCTCACACATGAAGGTGGCTAGGATCACATAACAGAACTATCAAAGTTATGCTTTCACCATCCTGATTTAGTGCTTTTGGCTTTTACTACCACATTCAAATACATTGGCTTGATTTTCAAAGGTAATGAGCACCTACAGGTTCTAATGCCTTT